ACAAAAAAAGAAAAAAAAAAAAAGTACATGGGTCTTAAAAATATGTGCTACATGCCCCAGTTGAACAGAATAAATATGGTGTGTCATGCATTTATTTAAACTTCCCCTCTTTGTGCAGGTTGCAAATTACTATTTACTGTAACTCAGCAACTTCTGCTCTGTGAGACTTCCCAGTGTATCGCTTATTGCTAACTACAAGCTTATCATTGGACTACACTAGATAATAAAAATCTCTCCACCATTTTTGGTTTTTAAAACAATACTGAGTTGTTTCCAAATGTTTATTTTATTGCAAGAGATATGTACCAAATACACTTGGCAACAGTATGCCCTGAGGTTGCCAACAGCTTTCAGGCCAGTGCATCCACAGGTGTCATTTAGAGCAAAAGCAGGTGACCACCGAGGAACGGGAAAAGTTCACCACATCTTAGACTCACAAATATGCTAGGTGCTTCCCACCTACCCTACTTCTAAGGGACATTCAGCACAATTCCAAAACCTTATTTCTGAATGTCTGTATTTGCATGTCACCTTCAACATCGTCCTGCAACAATGTGCCTTTGACACAGCTGCAGGATGCATGCCAACCACAATGAAAGGGAAGAACAAATGAAATTAAAATTCACTGAACCTAAGAGCTCCATGTTGCCTTACTATTTTCATTTACCAAGAGTAAGAAGACCATTGTTTGCTCGTTGGCCAGCGGCAGCCTGCCTTTATTCACCGCCCTTGAAGCCCGTGGGACGGGACTGCTCCTGCCTCACTTTCTTTCCAGCCTCCCAACACATTCAAATAGACAGAAACCAGCAATGGAAGATGAGGGTCAGAAAGTACCTCAGGAGCTCATTTTATCCAACCTCCTGCTCCAAGTAGGACCAGCCCCTACTTCCATCGTCCCAGCCAAAGCTTGGTCTACCCACATCTTAATAGCCTCCAAGAATGGAGGCTGCAGCCCCTCTCTGCATAACCCACTCCTGTTCACCAGCCTCCTTGTGAGAGTTTTTCCTACTATCCAGCCCAACCCTCCCTCGCTGCAACTGGAGCCCATTGCTCCTCGCCCTGTCACCCGGCACCGAGCACAGCCCAGCTCCACCCTCTTTGCGACCCCCTGCTGCTCTCAGACCCACTCAGCCCTCCCGTCTCCTCAGTGGCGACACGTTTCCAAGCACGAACTTCCGAGCAAACTAGGTTTTTTTGTATAGCTGGAGAGCTATTTCTGCGGTGCGATCAGGGCCCGGCCGCACCTGCTGGGGGACGGGACGGCTGCCGACTCACTCGGGGCAGCGCTGAGGCCAGGCCTGAGGTGCGGCCCCGCCGGAGACCAGCGCACATGCCCATGCCCATGCCCATGCCCATGCCCATGCCCCTGCCCCTGCCCCTGCCCTTCACTCCCAACCTACTGCCC